CGTTACAGATCATAAGTGTATTACATAGCTTTCGTGCGAGATCGTTCTCCGTGATGAACAAAGCTTTTTTTGCGAGACCGCTGTTAACTGTAGGCATTCTGAACGTGTTATAAATCACGATTCGAGACTAAGTGCAGCGTGAGACTTACAAGTCACGTTGCACCGGGAATTAATCATTGTTAAGAGAAATACGTTCACGACATGTACGATTCGTAGCTTAAATGCGAAGCATTAAAAGTCCATTTTTTATTTGAACTTTGAATGAAAACCCGGAAGTTTGTAGAATGTTGATTTTATCGAAAACGTTTCTCTCTGTTTTAATTTTAAATAAACTTCAAAAAAATTTGTATTCGAAGCTTAATCTTCTTTTCTTTCTGTTTTTTTCTTTTTTTCCTTCGCACCAAGAACAGTGACTGTAAGTGTTGACATCTTAGTATTTTTAGAATTAATATTTATCCACAACACGTTCGTATGTACTGGCAAAATATTCCTTCGGGACTCGGGGAAAAACTAACAGAGAGACGCGCGTCTCACAGTATAGATTCACGTGAAAAAAATCATGTCGACGTTAAAGGAAGCCATCTCGCTCGGAGCAAATCGTATCATTCACTTATATATAACGCAAGACGAATGTGTCTCGAAGAAAATGCAAAAGGAGCTGCATAGAAGAGGCAAAGTCGCAAATATGTGTATGCATGTGCGAGGGATAGAGACAGAGGGTGAGAAAGAGAGGGTGTGCGGGAGGAAGAGGCAACCCGTGTGGGTTCTGTCTTCTTCACAGGTCATCGGAGATCTTCTGTCATCGACGCGCAATCTCGGGCCATCGACAAGCGAGAAGGTTGGCCGGTGTTGGCGTCGCCGCCACCTCAATCACTTCAGAATCACTGGAGAGCAACGCTATCGATACAGAGATACCCGCAGCAGCCAACAGACCTCGTAGCACGAGGGGCTCACAAAAATGGAGTAACGTACGCGCGGTCATGACGTTATATTCCTCTCTGCGCAAAATCAAGAGGTACTCCCGCTATTAATTGATGTGGACGGTAACCTCTGGCACTGTCACATAAGCACGCTAACACACACACACACACACACACACACACACACACACACACACACACACACACACACACACACACAAAAGTATCCCGAAATTATGATACCAAGAAAGAGTAGGTAAAAAACGAATTAAAAAAATTTTTTTTTTGAGCCTTTCCGGAGAAAATAATCGACTTTAAATGTTCGTCGGATACTACAATACATCTTGATTTTGCTGAGACAGATCTTGCTGAGGACTATGATCCTGCTCATATCTATATTTATTATATATTAGGTAATCGAGAACACACAATAAAACAAAATATTTACGCGTGATGAATTTTGTTATTTTACAAATATTGAAAACGTTGCTTGATAACAAAGCAGAGATAACGGTAAATCTGAAAAATCATGCTATTCTAGTTTAAAGTTATTACACGCACGACGACATTATATTTACCTTTACGACAGAACACTGTACATGAATGTTACGTTAACGATTCAAGAATGCGTAGTAGCATAATAACGATCTTTAGTTTCGTTACTGTCTCTGTCTAACGTATGCGATTTTTCAGTGTCTCTGTTTCTATCTCTGTTTGTCTGTCTATTTATCCGTCTATCTATCTATCTGTCTGTTTGTCTGTATGTCGGTCTGTCTGTCTGTCTGTCTGTCTGTCTGTCTGTCTGTCTGTCTCCTATCCATCTGACACTCTAGCTAGCTGATTTGAATCTCGATTCTCGCCCATTTCTTATTTCAAGCAAGAAACTACTATCTTAGCAAGAACTACCTATCTTACATAGAACTTAGAGAATACAACGAATGTATTCGATTTTTCCAAAAAGAAAAAAAAAAGAGAATGATTTGTTCGTTTCACTAGGTTTGAAGAATGGAACGAATAGTAGGTCTTATATACCTATGTATATATCTTCGTGTGTATTTGTTAGACATATATATAGGTCATAGCGAAAACTGCAGAACGAGGCGTCTTGTTGTGTATTTTCTGCGCAATTCCTGCGTGACGTTGCGTAGAAAAGTTCATGCATGCGTGAGATTTGCGAGGAACTCGGTGTCGTTCGCAGTCACGCGGAATCCCGATTAGAAATAACGTTTGTGCATCGTGCGATCGTATTTTCTTCGAGGCGATATGCCTGCGTGTGATGACATACACGTGACTATGACACGCTGGCGTGTTTCATCAAATATCGAATTAAATGCGAATTTGTCATCACTTTTCAATACGAACGAATTGATCGTGTCCATTAGTTGCAACTGTGTTGCGACAATAGACGCGCAGTTAATTTAGATTTGCTCAAATGAGAGCATTGCGATGCAGCGGTGATATCACATGTCTTCTTTAAGAATGACTCGATTCAGTAAATCATAACATTTTCTAATTATTTTTTAGTTTTTATAAATACGAAGTTTAAAATAGTCTTTCCATAGGCTTGAAATTTTGATAAATTGATCGAGTATACAGTTTATGTTGATATATATGTGCTCTAAATTTATTTGCAATGAAACAGTTACTTTTGCGTTTATTTTCAATTTGTAGGTATTTTTTGTTGTTATCAAACAAATACATTTGTTTTTATTTACTTGTAAATTATTGCGGAAGATAATAAAAGCGAAAATGTGTTGGCGAGTAAAATTATCAATTGCGAAAACATATGTGTTTAAAAGCGTGATTAACGGGAAATTAATTTACATTCAAAATTTTTTTTTATAAAACAAAGTATTGAAAGCAAAATTGCAGTGATTATTTTTGCAGTTCTATTTGTAGCATTTTTTTATAAATAAAAATTCAGATGTTCTGAAATATATATGTCAATAAGTTGTGATGTAATAATAAATGATACATATCTAGTAATAAGAATATAAAATAAATACGGTAGAGAGTGCCAATGATTGGTCAAAGTTAGATGTTCCGAATAATACAATTCTTGATTTATAAGATACAATTGCGAGCCGAAACGTTCGATCATTCGCATATACAGAGTGCCCCACCTAACTCGAATCTGAAATATCTTGCTTGGTTTTTATGATAAGAAAAAATGTTTCAGATGAAAGTAGAAAACGGTTTCAAGGGGGACGTATTTTGATTATGTTATCTTTCTTTTGGGTGGGGACGACAAAAAGATATGAAGGTCGCTTCCATTTGTTTAAACGGAATTGTATGATTTTTTTTACACAAAATGATTCCTTTAATTATTCTAAATATAAAAGTATTAAAACAGTGACATCAAAAAGTTAATAGTTTATTTAACATTTTATGTCAATATATGTCAGAATAAAGCATAAGATATCTCGTAAACTATTAATTTTTTTATAATCATACCCTAATACTTTTATAAACAGAATAATGAGATGAATCACAATTGGTTGGCCATTTTACTTTTATTTAAACATTTTTTTTATCATAAAAATCAAACGAGATATTTCAGATGCTCGAGATGGGACATCCTGTATATGAAAATCAAATTTTCTCAGATGTGACTGTGCGCCGAAACGTTCGGACTTTTAAACAATCAATCTGAGACGCTAATAATCCCCCGCCCCCTCCAAATTAAATAAGAAATATGTTGTACAATATAATTAATAAATTAAGTATTAAAGCTTGGTTGAGATAAATTACAATCAAATAATGCTTATTTGAGTCAACACAGGATGACAATGTATAATTGGTTTAATATGTGAAAGTTGGTTTATTTAAATCAAAATACGTTTCGATCTTATTTCGGATCTTTATCAATGCTCTATATAAATTGTTAATAGAATTCAGTCACCTAAGAATAGTAATGTAACAATGATGTCATTGTATTTCCTGATATATTATGGTACATAATAAATTTATTAAGTCGTTATATAATAGAATATAATGTAAAAAATTTTTGTCGGACTTACATGATCACCGCAACGTTATTAAGTTGTTCATGTGTCGGACGTTGAGTCTCATCTGACGAGACAACAATACATGACAAGACATACAATACAAACATATAAAATATAGAATACATTGAGCGCGTCATTTAAACATAATTATATTATCATAAGCTTTATCCAACAATTCTGTATTATTATTCCGTATTATTATTCTGTAAATTTAAATCGTTAGTTTGTTGTTTGATAAAAATAGTTTTTGAGATAAGTCTTTTATTCAGTATTTTTTCCTCATCTAAGATGCGTATATTGTCCCAATCAAATTTATGATGTTCCGTAATAACCGAGCGCTGTGTCGTATTCCAGTTAATGTATTGTTGTCTCGTCAGATGAGACTCGATGTCTGACGCATGAACTTAATAACGATAATCATGTAAGTCAGAAAAAAATTTTTTACACTTATATTCTATAACGATTCAATAAATTTATTGTATAGTACAATATATTTATTATATAGTTATGTTGATTTAAATAAACCAATTTTTATACATTATCATCTCATTGTTGGTCATCTACCGAATTACAACTAATATTTAATTCATATTAAAAGTATTAAAGTAGTGATATTAAAAAGTTTAGTTTATAAGTATATTTTATACTTTATTTTGGCACATATATTAATATAAAATGTTAAATAACTCGTAAACTATTAATTTTTTTTATAATTCATATTGAGTTACAGTTGGAACACCCTGTATATGCGAATGATTGTGAAGTGAACGTTTCGGCTCACGATTATATCTTAAATTTATAAATCAAGAATATTGTATTATTCGGAACATCTATCTTCGACTAATTATTAGCGCTCTCTACCATATTTATGTTGTACATTTACACGATCGGTTTTTATTTCTTATTTCTTATTTCTAGTAACTTTTCCTAGTTACGCGTTTTCTTACTATACATGTTGTAAAGAATAAAAAACAAAATTATTATTCGAACAGTTACCGATAGATGTCAAATCTCATATATTTTGCTTTTCGATGTTCTAATGCTGGCGACTTATTTATTTTTCTGCTTGCAGATCAAAGAGCAATCAGCGTTGGATGAAACTGCGCACGACTGTGCAGCTGTCATCGGCGATGCAGAAGAAGCCACCGTTAAAACGTGAAGACTCGTTTTTAAAAAGATTCTCTACCCGGCCGATTCCAGAAAGTCAGGAAACACTGGACGACACTGCCGAGTGTGATGGGGATGGGACAGATAAGAATATGGGTAGTCGACGAGGCAGGCGACCTCGTAGGCTGCAAAAACCACCGAGATCCGTCGTAAATCCAGATGAAGATTTCTATTACTACTGGCTGATGCTCGTGTCATTCTGCGTTCTTTACAATCTATGGACGCTAATCGTACGCCAGAGTCTGCCGGAGCTACAGGCTTTGGCACCCGGTACTTGGTTCGCCCTCGACTGTTTTACCGATTTTACTTTTTTTTTGGATATATTAGTACAATTTCGTACCGGTTACTTGGAGCAAGGTCTTATGGTGTATAACAGCCGCAAACTTGCCGGACATTATTTCAAGTCTAAATTCTTTTTTTTAGATTTGTTCTCATTGTTACCTCTTGATTTATTGCAAATAAGTTTCGGCAGTAATCCGATGCTACGGTTTCTTAGATTCTTAAAACTTTATCGTGTATATAACTACTACTATATGGTTGAGTCCCGTACAATTTACCCGAATTTTTGGCGCGTACTCAATCTTATTCACATATTACTTCTTCTCGCACACTGGTTTGGATGTTTCTACTATTTGCTGAGTGAGGCAGAGAGTTTCCAGGGGGACTGGGTATATCCCCATCGGCCCGGGGAGTACGCCACTCTAACGAGAAAATATCTCGGTTCCGTGTATTGGTCCACTTTAACGTTGACGACAATCGGGGATTTGCCGACGCCGGAGACCAACGCTGAGTAAGTAATATAATTTTTATCGACACTAATTTATATAACACTACTTTTGCTCCTTGCTACCCTTTTTCGTTTTTGTTCTTTTTTTTTCTTCTTATCATATCGCTTTTATTGTCCTTTCACGAAAAATCATTCTTTCCATTTGTTGGAAGGTATGGTTGCAGTATATATTTCATATAATAAAATATTGTCGGATTTATATAATACATATTATCGGAACATGTATCAATGTATGCCTCGCGTATTGCGCGTTCTTCAAGAGCCAGATCCTACTAGACTAAGAGCGAGCACTTTCCATCTCGCGTAAATCGGATTCAAATTCTCGTATACCATTTGGATGCAAACAGGGTGTTACACGAACACCCCGTCTGTCATTGTTGCAGTCGTTCGTGTATGCAACGATATCTCCCTCGTGGCGTCCTAAATTTTGTGAGCGTTGAATCCGAAAACGGACACTATGAATCCTGGAATTAAGAGGTCTAACCACCCTGACAAAATAATTACAAAATTAAGATTTAAAAAAAAATTTACTGCGTAGAATTAATCTACATTGGTGGAAACGGGCATTAGTGAACTTAGATGCCTAGGAATTAGACTCGTGAAGCGGCCTTTTTGTTGTTGTGTTGGCAGAATCACGGGCCACAATCCCCGGAGGCTCGCTCGTCGCGGCCGACTGTCCAGGCTTCTGCAGTTCAAGCATAACGGAGGGTAGGATTGTTTCTAAAATAAAAAAAAAAAACAAAAAAAAACGAACAGGGTTGCCACAGACCTGGAAAATCGGGCAAACCGGAAAAAGTTAGGGAAAAATGTAAAAAAAGTCTGGAGTTTCGAAATTTGCTCACAATTCCCTGCTCCTATTTCAAATAATTGTTATAATTTTGTAAATATTATATCTGACGTTTATAATCAAAAACGTTCAAAACTTGTGCACTTTGAATGATTTTCATAAAATAATTAAAATTTATATTTTATTCAGTATTTTTATTTGATCTCTCTTTTTCGTCATTACTGTATTTTTTTCCATTGTTTTTAATAATATAGATCAACTTTCCTACAACTTTTGTGTCCTAAATGTAAAAATTTATATATTTTATATTACTCATGGAAAATTATCCATTTTCATCTGGAAAACCTGAAAAAATCAAAGAATTTATAAATTCATTTTCTGTGGCAACCCTGGAACGGAAAAAGAAAGGGAAAATGCGAGTAAGAGTGAAAGGTGGGAGAGAACGGGATTGTAAGAGACGGAAGAGCGAGTGAGGGAAGGAGAGAGAGAGAGAGAGAGAGAGAGAGAGAGAGAGAGAGAGAGAAAGAGCCGGATTCGGATTCAGCGCAAAAAATTACATAACTTTCTCAATTTTGATAAAATAAATAAAATCTATGAAATAAATAATGATAACAAAATGAATAAGGATAACGAGGTAGACGAGAAGAATAAGGTGGATGAGGAGAACGAGGAAGACAAGGTGGACGATTTGGACAAAAAACCGCTCGTTTAGGGTCTCGGACGAAGGCTGATCCCAAGACTTAATACCGTCCCCTTAGAACCCTAGGAGGGAATGACGGGATAAGGGTGTCCACAATTCTCGATAAAACGTCTCGACGGCGACTCATCGATCACTCTGAGTCTATCGCAAGTTTAAGAGAGACGTTTCCGACCACGTGTCGGCTCCTCGTGGCAATGCTTATTCGCTGACATTGATGCAAAGCACTTATACTTCTTTTGCCAAAGTGCATCTTTGAATAAACTATACCTCAGTGCACTTTGCAACAATTTTAAGATAAGTAAAGATTTTTACATTTTTACTTGGCAGCTTACGCGAGAAGTATATTATATAATATAATATCATGTATATGTATTACGATTTTACTTTAATCCTTAATATTGTAACTTGTATTTCTAATGTACATTTCTACTAATAAGTAGATTTATTTTAATCTCAGTTCAATTTACTCTATCTTTTTCTAGTTTTAAGAATTAGAAAAAGATAAAGCGTAAATTAAATCGAGATTCAAATTAATCTATCTATTGTATAAATGTACATTAGAAATATAAATTATAATATTAAGGATTAAAGTAAAGTCATAATACATATACATGATATTATATAATGCACTTCTCGCGTTCTGCCATGTAAAAATGTAAAAATCTTTACTTAAGTACACTAAGGTACAATTAGAATCAAAGATGCGTTTTGGCAAAAGAAGTATAAAGGAGATTAATTGTGTGACGCTAATAGCCATTCCATTAGAACTCATTACACCAACTGTCAATTCAATTTTAATGTGAATAAACTTGAAACGTCAGCGTTATGTGCTGCTTTCATCCACTCGCCCTTCAATTATATGTGATTTGATCACAAAACTAGAAATTCTACAGCTGACGCGTTCTGGTATGTTAAATCATGCACGTACGTATTCATCAGAGCATTCTGTCAGTCTATAAATAATTCAAGATAAATCGAAATAGAGCATATAAGAAACACATAGAAAGAGAGAAAGAGAGAGAAGGGAACATTCAACGCGATATCAACAGCGCGCTGCAACGTAATCGATAATGTACGATTGATGTACGCGAGATCGATATACATTGCAATATTAATCATTTTCTGTGTAATTGTGATTAGTGTGACTTTAAATAAACATATGTGCCACGCTTAATACCGCAATAAATGGATATTCGATACAATATCCGTTTTCGGCTCAGCGGAGCGGAGTAGCAAACCTTGATTTAGCGGAATTATAGTATATCCGTCATGTAATAGCAACTTGCGCGACGCGCATCGACGATCACGGACCGATTTATCGATCAGCAATAACGTGATCAAATACCATCCACGAATTTTCCACTCTACAAATTAATACGCGGAAAACTTCGAATGACGATAATGTCGAAATTTACGAATCTTTGATGACATAAATTACATAAAGCGTGAAAATTTCGATATTATTCAAAACGACCATTGCTAAAATTTCGTTTTCTTCTGCTATGCCAAACAAAATTACGGATTCTGAAAGTATTCTAATGTAAAATGAGAGAATTTTATATTTGGTTTTAATAGAGAATATTCTTATAAATATTTACATAGACTTATTGTATAAGATATTAAAGTGGGGAAAAAATTATTGTAATAATATTTTATGATGAAAATGAACAAATAAACCAGTAAACTAAAGTAGATTATAATAAATTGTAAGAAAGGACATTAATTTTTCTTACATGCGAAATAGAGAAAAAAGAAAGAATTATTATAACATTAATTTATCTTTTCTTGAGCAGATAATTTTACAAGAAATTATAACGATTTTAATTTAATATTGTTTAACATTCCAATGGTATAACATAGTTATGAGAATGAAAGGATATTTATTCTTTTTTAACTGATCTCGCTCTTTCAGTATAACTTCAATTTTTAATATATTCTTTACGTACTTTCATGTCGAAAGTAATATCAAAGTATCGAACGCAGCATTATCTGACTTTAAAGGAACAATGAAAAACGAACTTAGCGAGACATTGTCGCGCAAATTATCGCTCTTCTTAGCAGTAGATTAATTACTCTGGCATCCAAACACGATGGCACTGTGAGAAACTCGATTTAAAAGTCTCAATAAAACCGTTTAACTTGAAAAGTCTATTCGATTTCACGTACCTACTTAATCATTTTTTCTATCGAGTGATAGTACTGCTTAATTTTAAAAAGCAATAGTACAAAATTTTTTCTATTATATCCAAAACATTTTATATACAACAGTATTATTTTCGATCCACTTTTTTTTTTTGCGAAACAATTATTAGTGATCTTGAATTATTAGTAGATCTTGAAGTGAGAAATAAGTTATAAAGGCGCGGATGGGATTTGTCATCGCCCGATGAAAACTAATTTCCCAAGAATTAAAATTCTCCCTCGGAATACCGCGAGGAACATTTTCAAGGAGTGAGTTGAGGGATCACCCTCATTCTCGGATTCTTCGAATACATTTTACGAGACGATTCAACAAAATGAGAACCTGCAAGATTACTTTGCTTGCTTTATTGAAATATCGATGATTATCAATGCGCGCAAAACGCTGAAAGAGATTTTGCGAAGGCAGAGCTAAAATCTCTCTCTCTCTCTCTCTCTCTCTCTCTCTCTCTTTCTTTCTTTTTGGTTTTAAAGTTGGCAGCGGATTTCACCAATTAAAACGATGGTGATGAACGAAGTTATAGAGCTCATAAGCTGTTGGCATGCTAACCCAAGCGGTCGAGAAATTGCGAGGGTCTTTTGCGGAACGTGTACCGTCAGCGAAACAAGTTTGTATGATCTACAAACGGTGCTTGTACAGTGTACACGCGCTCCTTTGTCGTTCCTTCAACAGGAACGTAATCTGTACATGAAACGTTGTACATGTACCAAAACTAAATATCTTCTAAGACAAGAATATACATATGAGAACTATGTTTACCGAATATATATCAAAGCAAAATTTTCAAGACATTGAATTGCAGCTATTAAAAAATTTATAATTTTATAAAAAAAATGTTCTCTTTATTTTATCACCTATATTTCATTAACTGACTTGTCTACTATTTTATATAAAATAGTATAAGTAATTTTTCACCGCGCGTGGATTAGGAAAAAATAAATCCCATCGAGATATGAGGTATGAATGTACCAGTTAATGACATGACTCAATTGAAAGAAGTAATAAAAATGTTAAATATTTAGCTTTTAATGATATGTACAATTTTAAATAAATTCATCTTATTAAATTTTTATAAATAAGGAATTTATTCGACAGAGTCGTATGTATTATTAGAAGCATAATACTTAACATTTTTTTGTCATTTTATTCAATAATAGGATCATGTCCAGTAACTGTGACATTAACTGGAACATTAATTGGTCTCCATTTATCTTATCACTAACAACAAACGGATTGTTTTGAGATCGTCCGCGAGAAACAATATTATAATTTCGGAGATCGCAGACTTTACGATTTAAATACTTCTAACATCGCGTGTCTTTCCGGCTATTTGGTCCTTGACTTGTAGCCCGGCGGCAAGATCGCTTAATGATCGGATGAGTATTCTTGCAGGAAGGTCGATTTGTCTGCAGAACTCTTTAGACGGCGAGAGAACGATCGGTTGGAATCTCATTTTAGCCAGTCAAATTTGATCTCGCTTTATTTCGAGTAACGTCGAACGAATCGCAAACTGCATTCTCACGATTCGACTGCGAACTCGTAGCCCTGAGGGTTTCCCTGAGGGAGAGGTCACTTCCGCTTTCAATCCTCGATAGTTTGCTGAGCTCGCCGCATTTCCACACAATTGTCTGGATTATGGCGTGTGTCTCTTTGAGTTACACGTTTGTTTATACGCGCTATTCCGAATCTTTAAGTTTGACTGTATGACGAGACTAGACGTTGCGTTTAAAATTAAATTACAAGGAGTACTGAATTAATTAATTAATGCCGCCGCGAAGTTCGTATCATCTTAACCGTATATATTTCAACATTATTATTTTTATTGTTTATTTATATAATTTTTTATAGAACATATAATTTAATTATCTTCGTATGTTCTGTAAAAATTTTGTTTATTTGATTTGTCTCTTACTTTGTATAATAATTTTTTACTATTCTTTTTATATGCCTTGCATTTATACTTTAAGCATTCTTGTCTTCTATTCTCTATTGCGTTTATTAGACAAGATACGCTTTTATTATTTCATTTCAATGTAATTCATAATTTCTAATTCGTTTCGTTTTCTGGGAGCAGTTCTTTAGCAATTCTGCTGTTGTCTCACTATTTTTGTGCTCTTCCGTTCGTCTATAATATATATTTTTTAATTTAATAAAGTATTTCAATTATACACTAACTTATATATATTAATATATATAATTGGAATATTTTATTTAGAATAAAAACGTGTTCATTAATTAAGATTTCACAATAAAAATTTTAGAATTCGGACACTGATGCGATTTATCAATCGCGATTTGTTTCAAAGATGTTCGTATCGATGGAATGGAAATTATCGAACATGAGCGAAATGAGCGAATAAATGATTCGTATTCGATTTAATATAAAAGAAAAACGGATTGTGAGAACGCCAGTGTATAAAAAAAATATAGCTTGATTAAGCAATTTGATTAGGAAAGCGAAAAGATTAAATGAACATTTGTGCGCGTACATTTTAACGTGAATAAGAGCGTTGAACTGTGATATTCGAAATGACGGAAGTAAAAACCGATCTAAAGCAAAAAAATGTGAAGCAATCTAGGAATAAGTGATGTCAATCACGTCGTAATTAATCACGAAAAAGTATTTAATCAAAACAATACGAGCAATTGGATTTTTCCGAATTTTTTTACAAACGAGAGCTAATTAGTAAATATCAATTTTATTTTATAATTAGCCTGAAAAAATATTTACATAATCAATCAGCGTAAATGGATATATCTATGTATATCTATATCAATTATTTCTGTTTTAAAATCTTAAAAAGAAATTATTGATGTTTGAATAAAAGGGAGAGTGGTTTCGAGTATCAATCAATCGATAGAACAATCGCTCTTGGCGTTGCGCGTTGATGAGTAGAGAGAGAGCCATCACAGGGAATGAACGTATGAGAGAAATACTGAAAGAGGAAAAGTTCGAGGCTGGCGGAAGCGAGAGAATTTTGTGCCGGAAGGAACAAAAGGAAGAAGAGCGAAAGGATGTTTTTCTTAGAAAACCGAGTCGGTTTGAGGTTGTCGAAGGAAAAAGCGTGCTTATGTGTGAAATGTTTCCATATACGTATCTGTATCTGTATGTGTATGCCAGTTGTGTGCCGATATACGAAAAGAGGCAAGAATATCTTTTGAGGTACGGTGAATCGCGAATTGTAGATAAATAGGGCAAAGAGAACTGTTTGTTGCGAGCATGTCGGTCAGAAAGATCGGACAGGTACCATTACGATAGAGAATATAATGGTTCCGAAATCGCGGAACGTTGTGTTAACCACAGCTTTAAATCTCGTAAATTTTCTTGAATGAAACGTAAGATTTTTTGAAGATTCCGTCTGTTTTCTTTTTTCTGTAGTTATAGGCTTGTTAAAAGTCTATTATTTTCAATCATGAATTATCAATGAAACTAGTCTATATAAAATCCGATCTAATGAAACTTAAATAAAATCCATTAAAAAGAATATAAAAGAATATAAAATTTATGCCAGGAATATGAAAATGAATATTTTCTTTAAAATCTTTGCTAACTTAAAATATATTACAAAGTTTTAAAGATTTCAGAGTTTTACGATGCTGGATTAATTTATCGATTGCGAAATTTTTGCGATATTATCTAAGAAATTAAATATGCGTTGTTTAGAATGTCTAAACGCTCGGTTAACTATTAACAAGCTGTGTCAGGAGCGAATTTTAAGTTCTGAGTTCGTTAAGGCTTTAGTTTGAGAAACATGGGAATTTTAACGATCTATAATGACACTTGACTATTCATTGATTCAGCAATCACGTTCAGTCAGAATATCAATGAATGGTTCTGCGGCTGAATGCAAAGTACACGTTCCACCACCGCTCTTTCCGTTTTGCGAATTGGCAAAGAGATCAAATAGAGGGTACGAGAGCAGATTGTCTGCGGTTGTTCGTACGTTGTGTGTACGTGAGTGCGTGTACGTGTGGCTGCACATGTCAGTGTACGACTGAGAGGGTGAATGAAAAGGAGAGAGTGGTAGAGTGTGATCTGAGAGAGAGAGAGAGAGAGAGAGAGAGAGAAAGGGAAGGAAGGCAAGTAAGAAAGAACGGGAGAAAATAAAAGGAAGAGAAGGAAGGCTTCCGGGTCATTCGTCCATAAACGGAGGACACTGATCACATCCTCTCGAACTGATCGGCTCTCCCTTCTTGATTTGCAGATACGTATTCACGATAGTCAGCTACTTGATTGGCGTCTTCATATTCGCGACGATCGTCGGGCAGGTTGGCAACGTCATCACAAACAGGAATGCGAACCGTCTTGAATTTGAAAGGCTTCTGGATGGCGCCAAGACCTACATGAGACATCACAAGGTGCCGGGTGGTATGAAACGACGGGTGCTTAGATGGTACGACTACAGCTGGTCGCGCGGCCGGATACAGGGCGGGGGTGACATTAATACCGCTCTCGGTCTACTCCCGGACAAGCTCAAGACCGAATTGGCGTTGCACGTGAACCTCACGGTGCTGAAGAAGGTCACTATTTTCCAGGTGAGCCACCTCTATTCATATATGCGCGAGTAGCTTTTCCCCATATTCTCAATGAAATTCAACGAAAAGCAGTGATATGTAAGCGCGGATTCTTACGTCCACAATAGAAGTCAATTTGCTCTGAGGGAAATGTAACGAATGTTTTTTATGATTATTTGTTGAAGCGCCAAAAAATAACTAGATTATGCATTTTCCGTTAACGACACAAACAACTTAATTCAGTAAATATGCCGTAATAAGTATCCGTGTAATTCGTAATAAACGATGTATATAAACAGCAATAAAGTAAATGTTCTTAATGTTTAAAGATGTAAAATTTTGGAAGATACCAATGGATTTTGCAATTAAAATATTTTAGCTTGTTAAGCGTATGGTAGAAAAATCCCTTTGATATGTTAACTCATTCTCGTAGTATTTATTTTTTATTAGACAACAAAATGGAAATTGCTCCTTTTTGGTCTTATCGTGTCACATGATCCAATGTGTTAATAAGTAAGTGCAATTTGCGGTGGTAAAATATCGCGCGGTTTTTCATGAGAAATACAATCCCGAGGAAGATTTCAGTAGATTCGGGATATATATGAATCTCTGTTAAAGGAACGACGTTAAAGCCGGGCAAATATTTGAGCGAAAACATTGGTTTGTGTACCTTACGTTCAGAGGAAAACTTTTAAGAGAGCACATGAGTGAGATTTTAAAGACAGCCACGTTTATGACACAACTCAATTAGAGTCGTCCCCGTTTTTCCATTTATGCGTACTATATTTCTCGCTATTTTTCGAATGTGTGTTGTGACTTCTTCGACGAACTCGAAAGAGACAATATAGAGGAATGTCAAAATAATTTTTTTTTTCTATCGCGGCAAAAGGCTATCGCCAAGTTCGAGGATCAAGAGGATCAAGTCGTTTCTGTGCGATATAGTCACTTAAAATTAAAATCATTAAGAGCAGAAGTGTTTTTTATGAGTTATCATAGTTTGTATGTTGCTACCAGCTGATCGCAGCAACTTCGGTGATTCAGGAACTTTAGTGAAGGAGATTTACTCATGTAACCATTTAAGTTCCGTTATCAGAACGAGAGGCAATTTTTGTTTGTAAGTGGTGAGCGGCGGCGTATCTCTTGTAAATCCTTTTCCTCCGCTGCGGCTGAAAGCTTGTCATCCGATAAAAATAAGAAAAAGAATACAGGTGCGGAGAAGTACGTGCAAGGGGAAGTATTCGGAAAGTTTTACGGTCAGGGAGCGACGCAAAATCATTATGGAGACAAAGTGCCGCGGTGAATTTCTCTTGATCGTCTCGAGTTTTTGCCGTACAGAATTTCTCTCACGTCGCCTTACACGTTAAAAATATTCGACCAAGTCGTTTAACGAATTTTTTAGAATTTTTTGTTTTGACGTTAAGAGTTGCTTTGACGTGAAAAATTTGTTTGTCGAAATCACATTTTTAACGCGTTGCAAAACGATTGTGCTCCGGATATATTTTTTCATGGAAAACCCGCATGACAGTAGAAAGAAGAATGGGAATAAAGCGCGATACTGAAGGTAGATCTAAAAAGTTAAATCCCTGGAGGGTAAATGGCGAGTACGTGATAAACTGATATAAAGTGGAGTGGCCGTTGTAAGCTTGGCGAGGCTTCTTGAGGGCTCTCGACGAGGAAGAAATCGTGAAAAATTGCAACAAATCGTAATCGTTGAAACGCGTAACTTCTATTTGAAAAATTCAATTGCATTTGAAAATTCCTCATGTGAAATTTTCCGCAAAATACATTTGTGATCGGATACATAATTAATTGGGATGAATTTTCAATTTTAGAAAATTCGATGAATATCGATTTTCTTTCTTTCTATCTCATTTTATCTTTCTCGAGAATATACAGCCAAACGAGAGAAGTAATTAAAGTTGTCGAACGTACGTCAGTACTGGTATTCCTTCATGATAGATTCACCCGTGGAGAAACAAAGCCGAAACTTCGCTATCTTACCTCAGCACTTAATGATATTTGCAGTAAACTTACAACGCAACATTATTCATTCAGTGATCCTGCTCAGGATATTCGATAACTTTGCTTTCGCGGCTTTGAAAAATGATGTATGAGAACGTACGCATATTCTTCTCACAACATAATTTCATAATTTTATTCCTTCTATTGTTTAGGCACGATTCATCGTTTGCAGAATAATAGTTTATGATCGGAAGCATTTAATTATCAGCAGAATTTTATTCCACATTTTTGTCGCATTATAAATTATAATACGAATTTAAAATAAAATTAAGCCGATTAAATTTACATATATTTCGCTTTTACCCTCCATTAAAGTACCAATAAAATAGATCCGAAATAAAAATTTATTTATTTTTTGTGTCAGCAATGATTAATATTGTGATAGCAAATGATTTATTGCCAATGTACATTGCATCACCTTGCGCAATTTACACGTGTTTCAGACAAATTTGCTTATTTTGTAGTGTAAGTAATAGATGAACGTGGGTCTTTATTCGATATATTATAACGTTATTTGCGCGAAACTTGAGCATCTGGACGCTCACTGCAGACGTGATTAAATTTGATTTTGTGCTTCTAACGAGGAGATCATAGCAAGTCTCAACGGAAATTAAGCATATTGAACGATGCGGAAGTGTATTGAACATATTTTAATTAAAATCTTTCTCTCTTGCGCTTCTTTTTATCAACCGCATATTTTTATCACAATGTTTATAAAACCACGACGGACGTTCTTAATGAGATTTCTTGGCTCTAAAGTTAATTTTTTCTCGATGAGATAAATTTTATGTTCCAATATATCATGTTTATACTGTTTTATCTGGAAATTGTGTCAGATTTTTTGTTGTACCCTGCACGAAAATTGGATTATGAAACAGGATAGCTTCGTGGTTTACAAATAGAGTAGAGCGGAAATAAACTCGTTCAAGCTTCTTCCGAGACAGAGACTGTCAGAATATAGTCCTTAAGATAACAAGCGCACAGACTTACCGGAATAATGAGATCGGCGCATTTCGGACGGCTGTCAAAGCAATCGGTCGATATCGATTTGTACTCATCTAATAAAATTTCATTAATTTGAATTGGAACATACAAAATGAGTTGTTCAGACACTTATTAATTACTGAAGAAAGAAAGTAGAGCTTTAACTGATGCCGACGTATGCCAAACTATCTGAGAATCGAAAGTCACTACTTTAATCCTGGAGCTCTCACACTAATTGTAAGAAAAATGGTTTGGTTGAAAATTAATAAAAAACCAGAAGTTTCTGATTAAATCAGTCAGAATTTTGATTATCTCAACTAGAATTTCAGTATAGATTTTAACCAGAAAATTTTCTGATTATAAATCTACTAACAAATTTTGTAGTTAAATTTACGAAAATTCTAATTGAGATAATCGGAATTCTGATTGATATAATCAGAATCTTTTGATTTGTGCATTTTTAACCAAACATTTTCCTCAATGCAGGAAAAGATGAGCCAAGAATTAAACATTCTGACAAGTCGAAAAACCTATTGTCACTATAGTATACATATTTTGCTACCGATTAAAATTAAAAACATCCAAAAGTGGGAAATACTGTCCGTCCTAGTCGACTCATTCCACGAAACATGAAGTTATTTCGCGACGCTCTGAAAGTCCGACGGTAACAAGAGACGTGAAATGTATAAATTACGCTGCAATAAATCCAATCTCTGTAATAAATCCAACTCCTTCATACATATGTACTCAGTGCAGAGCACGACGGCCAACGGATATACAATAATATATCTTTTGTATGCGCGACGCTCTGAAAATTCCATCTTATAAAGGAGAGTTGCGTTCGCAGTAGGAAGATTCAGGTACCATCGGAGATCATAATCGCGCAGTTAACCCACTTTCTTACAAGTTTGAAAAGATTGATCTAAATTTAATTTTCTCAAACTCTTCGCACGCTTTAAGATCATTTTATCATATTCTTGAGAGAAGGGAACCACTTTTGTGCTAAACTCTTTAAAATCCTATTAAAGATTAACAATTTAATAAAGTAAATAGGAAAATCAACTTGTTTTACAAGCTGTTTTTCACAGCTTCGGCAAGAATTGCACGTGTCAATTATGATCATTTGTAATTCTGACCGTTTGTAATGACGCTTATTACGTTATGCTACGAATGTCATATAATGTTCACCAAAGTGTTAACACACTAACCACCATGTCAACGACCGAGGACTAACACAATGTTATGTCGCCCGCGTTGTGTCAACCACCGGCAGATGACGTATTAAAGCGATACGTCGACAAATTGAATTTCGCAAACCGCAGACAAAGCGCAATGCCGTAACTACGGTTATAGATAATTTTAAGTAAATTGCATATAATGCATAACCTTTTCAAATTATAAAGACAATTAAATGTTATCATGATTTAGCCTTTGGCCACACTTGTCTTCTAAAAATATTTAACACTAATAAACAATAAAGTAAAAAACTGTATTTGTGTTATATTATCAGTAGTATCTAATATATTATATAAAATTTTATTTAGATTGTTTCTTTTACTTTTTTATTTGTCTTCTAAATTTGTCTTCTAGAGTTTTTAGTTGTGTTTATAATAGCTGCCTGAAAAAAGTTAATATACAATCTTTTCTTTTAATTTAATAAATTTAATAAATAATAAATTCTCTCTCTCTCTCTCTCTCTCTCTCTCTCTCTCTTCTGTACTTGGACAAATTTTCCTAGTTACTTATCAATTATCTACATTAAATTTATCTGAACATATTTTACGTTGCGTATTACGTGACTGTCAAAGTGCTCCTGGCCACTTATATTTCAGGACTACTACGTTCGATAACTGCAGCGGATATTGTTCGAGAGAGAAATGTAAGCAGATAGTAATCGGAATTGGTGAAAGAGGAACCTCGATCGTCATCTTCGTGCGTCCGAAGAATTTCCATTATCTTAGAGACATCCTTTCTGCTCGCCATTTTGTTTTCCTTTCCTTTTCTCCTTTTCTCCG